TGCATCTCTGCCTACCTGCCCCCCTCAGCTGAGGGACATTCTGTCCTTGGGAAGATCACCCTGACCTCCTGCCCACATCCTGAACATCCTGTGCCCACCCAACCGCCCCCATCACATACCCAGGACATTGACCTGGAATTACCAAGGGGCCTCTTCATCAGCTTTGGCTCACTGGTCCCAGAGAAAAGCCCCTCCAATTAACACTGGCACCAAAAGGCCAAAGCAAGAAACAAAAGGGTTGATTGGAAGGAACTCTGTCTTTCGAAAACAGAGTGTAAATTATGACAAGGAATTCATTCTGCTTTATAGTAAACAAGATGTGAGCTACAATTGAAACTCCGGGCTAATTCTTCAAACAAAAAAGAAATTAAGTCATTGGGGGTTTTTCAAAAGGGCATTCCCCCCCCCCACCAAATCGTATTTAATAATTCACGTTTAATATTTCAATAGGATTCTGAAGTCATTGGGGGAGAAAATAGACAGAGAGAGAGAGAAAAAAAACAAAACACACAAAAAAAATGCTTGTAGGTTGAATTATGTCCCCCAGGACATAATTGTAGGTTGAATTATGTCCCCCAGAAAGATATGTTGAAGTCCTAACTCCCAGTACCTGGGAATGTGACTTTTATTTGGAAAAGGGATCTTTGCAGATGCAATCGAATTAAGGTGAGGTCATCCTGGAGTAGAGTGGGCCCCTAATCCAATGACCTCATAAGAGAAGTTTGGACACAGAGACACAAAGAGGAGGAAGATGGTCATGTGCAGGGACTGGAATGACGTGTCTATAAGCCAAGCAATGCCAAGGATTTCAGGCAGCCATGAAAGCTAGGAGAGGTGGGAAAGAGTCTTCCCTGGAACCGTCAGAAGGAGCATGGCCCTGTGAACACCTTGATTTTGGACATGGAACTTTCAGAACTGTAAGAGAATAAATCGCTGTTGTCCAAGCTGCCCAGTTTGGGGTACTTTGTTATGGCGGCCTCAGGAAACGAGACACAGGTCTGCATCTGACCCATTTGATGTTTGAGTCACTCTCCCTGGAAGAGCCTGTCCTGCCTCCACCAATGGGCACTTTCTCTGTGTTTAATTATTCCTTGGACTGACCACCAATTCCTCCTCTGTCAATAACTCACCTGTGTTTTGGTCCCTGCCCACAGCCACTTTCTCCCACCACATGAAATCCCACCAGGTTCCAGATTGGTCATATCATTTTGCTATAGACTTGCATTGTGTTAACATCGTTTGGGGGGAATGTTTATAACATCCCACGAACAGAGAACTGATCCCCCCCGGTGCAGCTTGGTGCTGATATAACCCTGGAGACTGAAGTGGGGTCTGATTTCCTAAATCATCCATTTAGTAGAAAACAGTTTTCATGTTGTGACAACTCTAGCATCCCTCCACACCCTATGACTACCCTCCTTGCAGATGTGACAGCCCTAGCAAGCTCCCAAATTGCACATTTAAAGGATAGATGATGCAGTGAATGCTGTTGGGACAACCGGGAGAATAAAAGTCGGATCCCTACCTCACACCTTACCTCAATATAAATTCCTGATGGATCAAAGTTTTACACATGAGAAATAAAATCATAAAAGTACGAGGGAAAAAACACATGGGGGCCTTTTAAAAATAGTAATTTGAGAATAGGTAAGGTCTTTCTAAGAAAAATAATTAAACAAAAATGCTGTAAAAGAAAAAGGTGAGTCCAGCTTCCTAAAAATACAAATAGACGCATGGGGAGAAAACATTATAAACAAAGTAAAAGGGGAGCCTGGGTGGCTCAGTTGGTTAAGCGACTGCCTTCGGCTCAGGTCATGATCCTGGAGTCCCAGGATCGAGTCACGCATCGGGCTCCCTGCTCCGCAGGGAGTCTGCTTCTCCCTCAGACCCTCCCCCCTCTCATGTGCTCTCTTTCTCGTTCTCTCTCTCTCAAATAAATAAATAAAATCTTAAAAAAAATAAAAATAAAAAAATAAACAAAGTAAAAATATAACAAATTGCGGGGTGGGTAGGATATTGCAGCTTGTATCAGAGAATAAGAAGTAATTTCCTTAATATTAAAAAGAGCTTTGGGACACCTGGCTGGTTCCGTCGGAAGAGCATGTGACTCTTGATCTCGGGGTCCTGAATTCAAGCCCCAAGTTGGGTGTAGAGATTACTAAAAACAAATAAATAAATAAGTTTTAAAAAATGGTTACTATGGTAATTTTATGTTATTATCTCTTTTACCTCAATTTTTAAACAAGGACAATATGTCGGATGCAAGTGTTTGTTTAAAAAAGGGAAAGAGGGGTGCCTGGGTGGCTCAGTTGTTAAGCGTCTGCCTTCAGCTCAAGTCATGATCCCAGGGTCCTGGGATCGAGCCCAGTATCGGGCTCCCTGCTTGGCGGGAAGCCTGCTTCTCCCTCCCCCTCACTCCCCCTGCTTGTGTTCCCTCTCTCGCTCTGTCTCTCTCTCTGTCAAATAAATAAATAAAATCTTTAAAAAAATACATAATAAATTAAAAATTAAAAAAAAGGAAAGAAAATGGGGCACCTGGCTGGCTCAGTCAGTGGAGCATACAACTTTTGATCTCGGGGTTGTGGGTTTGAGCCCCACATTGGGTGTAGAGATTACTTGAAAAAATAAAATCTTCTAAAAAAATTAAAAATGTAAAAAAAGGAAAGAAAAGAAAAAGAAGGTGTACATTTATACACAAAAACTAATTTCAGGAAGCTAAGCCAATTTATTGAGCCTCTAGGGGCAGAGCTGGGGGCCTGGGAGACAGACAGGGTATAGGAGGACTCTGCCCTAGCAAACCTTTGTGCAGCTTTTGAATGTTATGTGTTAACTGTTCCAAAGGAAAAACATTTCAATGCAAATTAGAGATTTTCATCTCCTATTTTATTTTTTTTATTTTTATTTTTTTATTTGAGAGAGAGAATGAGATAGAGAGAGAGCATGAGAGGGGGGAGGGTCAGAAGGAGAAGCAGACTCCCTGCTGAGCAGGGAGCCCGATGCGGGACTCGATCCCGGGACTCCAGGATCATGACCTGAGCCGAAGGCAGTCGCTTAACCCACTGAGCCCCCCAGGCGCCCTTTCATCTCCTATTTTTAAAAGCCTTATAAAATAGGACTTGGGGCCCTTAGGGTCCCCGCTGCCCCTCCCCTGATGCCCACAGCCCTGGCCACTTTACCGCTAAATCCCTCTGGAGTCCCTCCCTTCACTCCTGTCTGCACCCCCTCCATCAGGCCCCAGAAGCACCCACTGCAGAGTCTAATTTTAAGTCTGACTGTGCCTCTCACGGGAGAGCCCTGGAGGGCCTTTGGTGGCTGACCCCACCTGGCTGTCCTCTCTTCTTCACTCACCTCTGTACCGTAACTCGGCTTACTGCCCCCATCCATTCACCTCGCAGGTTCAGAGGTCACCTCCTCCAGGAAGCCTGTCCTGAATACTCCATGCTCATCCATGGGGTGGGGGCAGGAGGAGGGCATAAGGTGGCCATGCAGCAGCCTGACTGGAAGAAGTTCAGCCTGCATCTCTTCCTGCCAGCTGACCCCTTCCCTCCAGCCACCCCACCTCCTGCCTGAAGTCTCTCTCTGACCCTGGCCCACCCACATCCTCTTTCAGGGGCTTCCCCCTCCTCTTCTGCAGTGATCTGCTGCTTCTCCCCTGGGGCCTGGACTCCCCCATTCCACGATATCTCCCGTTAGGACTAATACAAATGGCTGCCAGGCTGTGAGCACCCACAGATGCAAGGCAATGTCACTGGAGCTCAGAGCCGCTGCACGTGAGAAAGTGGCTTTATGGTCTCTCCTCTCCCCGATGCACAAAGGAGTTCTTGAGGGTAGAGGTGTGGGGCGCTCTGCAGAGGGCCCTGAAGTCTGAGGGAGAAGGATGCACACATTTGAAAAGGGAAAACATAGTCTGGTGGAGGAAACAGCAGGTGCAAAGACCTGAAGCTGGGTTGGGAGGCACGGGTTCTCTATCCCACGTGTGGAAATCAAATCTCAGCGATGTGAAGCGACTTGCTTAGGGCCCCACAGCCAAGAAGGCGGGGCCTGCCCCCACCTCGCCCTGGATCTGCTTCAAGGAGAGGCTTATAGCCCAAAGGTGAGGCCACTTTTCCAGATGAGGAGAGGGTTGGCTAGCTGCTCTGCAACCCCCTTCCTTTCAGCTGGGGGCAGCTGGACCATGAGCCCCCCAGGTGCGGCACAGGTGCTCACAGATTACCTCTGCCTCATCCAGGATTGTCTTTCATTCAAGGCTTGCCCAGGCTCCCCGCTCCCGCGCGCTGCTGATCCTGGGTCCCTTTCGCTTCCACCTGGCAAGAGAGGGCCCGAGGCTGCACCACCACCCACGCCGGCCTATCTCCACAGCTCTGCCTCCTGACCCCTGCACCCCACCAAATCGAAGCCTCTGCCTGGCTGGCTGACCTCCACTACCCCCCAACCTCCCAACTGGGCAGCTGGCTCCTGCGCGCGCTTCGGCCTCACCAACCGCGAGTTGGGCGGCTTGGTCTGCGAGCTGGGATAAGTCCCCAGGCTTGGGGAACCCGAGATGGCCTCTGAGGCCTGAGACGGAGTCCGGGCCTCCCCCAGCAACGCCCCGCCAGCCGTGAGTTCCAGCGGATCAGGGCGCCCGCGGTGTGAATGCAGATGCACGGGTCAGAGCCAGGCCAGAAGAGGGGACCCGGGAGGGGATCGGGCGGACGTGCAGCGAACGGAACAGAACCCTGGGCCAGATTGAGCGCCGCGGTGCTGGGTTCAAAGGCGAGAGATAAGGCGCAAGCAAAAGACCTGAGGCTGGCTCTCGGCCAGGCGCGCCTCAGGGCGGGCCTGGGGGGCGGGCCGGAGGGGGGGGCGGGGGGGCGGGGGGACGGGCCCGGGGGGCGGGTCTGGGGCGGAGCTAGGCGCGGGGGCGGGGGTCCAGGAAGCGGTCCAGTCCGCGGAGAGGGCCGAGCGCCGCCAGGACCCCGCGCCCCGCCGGGCCCCGCCCCGGCCCCGCCCCGGCCCCGCCCCGTTCCCTCCACCCCAGCCTACCCCCGGGCCCCACGGCCGAGGCGGCGCTGGGAGCAGAGTCCGGCGGCCGCGTGCGGGCTGCGCGTGCTCCTTCCCCTCCGCCTCTGCCGCCCACCCCCGGTGCGCCCCGCCGCCTGCGCCCCCAGGTAAGCGAGCGCCCCCGCGCCCCGAACGCCACGCTCGCGGCGAGCCCCGGCCCCGCCTCCGCGGCCATGGCGGCCCCGGCCCCCCCTCACCCCGCCCGGGGCGGCCTCTCGGCCTCTCGGGGCTTCCCATCCGGTCCCAGGCCCCGGGCCGCCGCCCCGAGAGAGCCCTGCTCCCCCGAGCGCCGGGGACGCGGCTGCGAAACGGGCAGGAGCGAGTGGGGGCGAGCCTGGCCCGGCGACGCGGGGGAGTGCGGGTGGGTGAATGCGAGGAGCGCGACGCGAGTGTGGGTCAGACGCCAAGGAAACCGTACGGAGTGCCCGCGCTGGGGACGCGGCCGGCGCCCTGACCTCGCAGCCCGGCTGCGTAGACGGCTAGCCACCGTGTAAACAGGCTCCGATCACTCCAGCCCGCGCTAAGTGCGGGGAGGACAACACCTCGGGGAGATGGAGGAAGGGTCAGGGAGCGCTTCTCGGAGAAGGTGTCATTCGGGCCTGAGTGGACCAGCCCGCGAGGGCTTTTGAGGCCCAGGAAGCAGCGAGATTTAGAAGTAGGGCCCAGCCTGGTGTGTTTGCAGGGCAGAAAAGAGGCCAGCGTGGCTGAAGCGCCGGGAGGGAGGCTCGGAAGTGGGGGGAGGTTGGCCCGCGCCTCGAAGATGGCGGGGAGTGAGTGGATTCCATTCTCAAGTCTGGGGGGGCCACGGGAGGCTTAGAGCAAAGTGAGTAACCCGGTCCTGTTGTGTCTTAGGAAGATCCCCTGCTGTGGGCAGGAGGGATGGGAGGAAACCCGGGAGGAGGCTGCTGGCTTGTCCCCCACCGGAAGGGGTGGTGGACAGGGGGTGACGCGGGGGGGGGGTGCATTCTGGCAGAAGAACATCCTCTGCGTTCCCTGCCTGCTCAGAAGTGGGGCGTAAATGAACCTGCGCGGAGGAGATTTCTGGCCCTGGCAGCTGGGAGTATGCAGGGGCCTTTGCTTGCTGGGATGGGGAAACTGAGGGAGAAGCAGGTGGGGTGGGGCTGTCGTGGCTGTCTGACTTGCAAAACCTCTGAAATGCCACCTGATGGGGGAGGCTCCTGGAGACCCACTCTACACCCAGGCAAGGTCTCCAGCCGTTGAGTGCAGGGGCCAAGCTCTCCCCAGTCCTCTTTTAGGGAGGCTGCCCGAGAAAGATATTCTGGAGTATGGGGTTGCCTTAGAAGCTCCCAGGGTCCCCGGTCTCCACTCAGGCCCCTTCCAAGAGCAGCTGCTGTGAATAAAGATGGCTGGGGTGTGGGTGGCAGGAGACTCAGCCACCTGGGTCCCCACAGGCCAAGCCAGGACCTTTCTTGCCGGCTTTCCCAGCTCACCTACTCCCAGTGGAGGTGTCTTGAGAGGGGAGGGAAGAGGTAGTAGAAATGAGCTGGGAGACTTGGTCATGGAACTGGCCTTGTGACCCCGGGGAAAGTTTTCTGGGCTTCGGTTTGCCCATCTGTAAAATGGGTCAGTAGAACCTATCCCTGGGAGTGTTGTTCTGATCAAAGGAAGCCTTGGCTAGGAAAGGACTTGGCTGAAAACAGTGGCAGCCTCCGGGGCCTTGAGAGAATGGGGGAGGCCGCCAGAGCCAGCGCGAGTTCACAGCGTCATGAGCCCCCATTTCCTGCACTGAGAAATGGGAGCACTGTGTAACTGCCCACCTCCAGACCCGGGGCCTTCTGCAGACTGAGTGAGTCAGGCGTGTAAAGTGTTTGGTTGGCCCAGCGCCTGGCTTGGAGTGATCGCTTGGCACAGAAGCCGCTGGGCTCCTGTAGTTGGCCGGGGGGGTGGGGGGGAGCAGGAGTGGGCCTCCCACCACCCTCGGGATGCCAAAGGTGCCCGGGGACAGGCTCCTCTTATCTGAGCACCACAGGCTGTCCTCTCTCCCACTCTCTGGAGGCTGCCTCTGACCTTGTCCTGCCCGCTTAAGTTTGGTGCCCAGGCTACTGACTTCACCTCCTTTTTGCTTCAGCTTCTTCACCTGTAAAATGGGAATAATAGCAGTCATCACCTCAGAGGTGAACACAGCGCCCAGGTGCTAATAAGCACCTGGTAAAACAGCAGGTGCCTGGATGTCTGGGGGGAGGGAGCCCGGAGGAGTGGCCTGGTTCACCCTCCCCAGGGAAGGCTTCTTGGAGGAGGTGATCATTGGTGGGTTACTAAAGATGATTCAGAGTTAACAGGGCAGAGAGACCAGGGTACAGAGATGTGGAGGGGAGAAACTGCAGGATGCATGGCAGGAGCTAAGAGACCAGACTGGAAGCAACCTCGCTGGTCCAGATCGAGATGGAGGTGGGGATGAGGGAAAAGTGCATGGATCCTGGAGAGATTGGAAGTGGGGGTGGTGGGGCAGCCGCTTGGGGAGCAGGTTCCGGTGCATCTGGAAATTGTGATGTTGCTAGACACCCAGATGGTGGCGAGGTGCAGGGTGGGCTTTGAAGAAGCAAGCTTGGAGCCTGAGAGGCATCAGCACCTGGGGGGATTGGGCAGAGAGAGGAGGCAAGGAAACAGTTAGGTGGCAAGCCAGAAGCCAGGGAGCAAGGGCTTCAAAAAGGAGGAAATGGTCAGCTCAGCTGAGTTTCTGAATCCTCTGCTTAAATAATTCAATGGTAGGGATTTTCCTCCCTTGGCTGTCTTTCCCACCCCATCCCAAGCCATTCAGAATGGGCTCTTTGCCACACTTGAATGGGCTCTGACCAGAGTGGCATAGAGGTCTTTCTCCTCCTTCGATCTCGACTTCATACCTTTGTTAATATGAGACTGTCCCACCAGTTCCCCACAATGAATGCGCAGGAGCTCAACTCTCTCCCCGCCCCATCATCTTGGGCTCCCAACCCCATATTTTGCCCCAGGACCCCATGACTGTGTCTCTGAGGTGCCAGCCCACCCTGAAGAACCCCGCTATCCTGTGCTTGTCCCCCCCCCCCGCCCCACCTCCCTTCTGCCCCTGTGTCTGTCATTTATTCATGCAGCACATATTTATGAAGTGCCTGCAGTGGGAGGCACCGGGCTGAGCAATGAACACAAGCTTCCCTGCTTCTACCTCATGGAGCTAATGTTGTGAGAGGCAGGGAGGTGGGGGAGTGGGTGTGAAACCCGAAGGATGAGAAAGAGCCAGGTGGACATCTGGAGGAAGAGCATTCCAAGCAGAGGCACCAGCATGTGCAAAGGTCCTCAGGCAGGACCAGGCCTGGCATGTTGGAGGTATAACAAGGAGGCCAGGGTGGCTGGATCAGAGGGAACAAAGGGGAGCATGGGCAGAGGGGCAGACGAAGAGAGCAAAGGTCTCAGGGTGCCCCAGTCCAACAACAGCAGACCTTGGGAGGGTCCTGGCTTGAAGGTTAAGAGGTTGCGGAGCCCCACTGCTTTGCAATTTGCGGGGTTGGGGCGTCATTCCTGGAACCCTGATGGTGCAGGAGGCTGGCAGGAGGAAGGAAGAGAATCCACCCCTTTTCCCGGTGGGCAAGTCTTCCTCTTCCCGTGATGGGGGCTCAGCTGACCTTGAAGACTTCCCCGAGAAAGTGAAGTAGCCAGGAAGAGGGCACAGATAGGGGGTATGAAGGCAGGGAGGAGGTGGGGGGAGGCAGGCAGCGGCAGTGACCGGGTGGGCAGGCCAGGCAGGGCACAGAGTTGGGTATGGAGCAGGATACTCTCAGGGAGGGGACAGAGATGCGAGGATAGCAGGCAGCAAAAACCAAAGCAGCTGTATTTTGAGGATGGTCGCACCATCAGCCTGCTGTCACTCCCTTTCCAGGTGGAAGGGAAAAGACTCGAGTTCCCCCCTCCCACCCCCCCCACCCCCACAGTGCATGTGGACGAGGGCTTGGCCACCTGGATCTGGTCACCGTTCTCACCCCCACCGCTGACCCAAGCATGCCTCCAAACCTTAGCAAGCCTCAGAAGCCTTAATGAGAGGATTCAGAGCCTTAGACTCTGGATCAAAGAGATCAGTGGTCCTGCTGATCCAGGACCCTGTGGCCACCACTGTCCTCCCCACCCCACCCCTCTCCAAACTAGGGATGGGTGCACCTCAGGGCAGCTCCCTTAGGCCCCGGCTCAGCTATGACAATGAGCCTGGCAGGCGCCATGGAGCTACAGCTGGAGCGAGGGAGTCTAACTACACTCTTAGGAGATGGCAGGGGACAAGGACAGTGACAGAAGGGGAGAGTAGGCAGGACAAGCTCTGCAAACATCTGCCTCTGGATCTCATTTTTCCATCTGAGATGTTGACTAGGGTGGGCCTTAATCTAAGGCTGTCACCTCCCTGCCAGCACCTCTTCTCATATGGCCCTCTGTTCCAGCCCCTGGGCTTCGTCTCGATCACTTGAAGCTACTGCCCGTGGCCTAGCCTCAGGGCCTTTGCACAACCTGTTCCCTTTATCTAGAATGCTCTATGCCCATGGCTTCCTCATCTCTTTTCTCAAGCATCACCTTTTTTTTTTTTGTAAGATTTTATTTATTTATTTGACAGAGACAGCAAGCCAGAGAGCACAAGCCACAAAACAGCAGAGGGAGAAGGAAAAGCAGGCTTCCTGCTGAGCAGGGAGCCCGATTTGGGGCTCCATCCCAGGACCCTGGGACCACGACCTGAGCCAAAGGCAGACACTTAACCAACTGAGCCACCCAGGTGCCCCTCAAGTATCACCTTCTTAAGGAGACCATCCTGACCTTCCTGTTTAAAATCGCATCCCCCACTGCCCAATTCCTGATCTCTTTTTCCCGCCCTATTTTTCTCTCCGCTATCCAGCACAATGAAATAAATTAATAAAATGTATAGTATTTGCCGCCCCCAACCCTCACCCTGTCCAGGACCTCAGCTCCAGGCACACAATAAACGTTTGTGCGGTGATGACAAGGAGCAGTCTTTAGAGACGGGCGGGCTTACATTTGAATCCCAGCCCGCTGCCTCCTCCTCTTTGCCCTTGGGTGATTCTGTGCCTCAGTTTACGCAGCTGCAAAATGCGGACCACAGAAGCACCTGGCGCTGGCC